TCTGTGGAACGCCGCTGCTTCCTCAAGGTATAAAAGATTTTCGACCTACCGGAAACCTTGACCCTGAATCAATTTATCCATTCATACGAAGAGAACACACATTTATACGCATTAACAAGTAGATACACTAATTTATTACAAACGTTTTCATTTTTGCGTATATAATTATATTAGTGAAAAATGGGCCATATAGCATATATTATATTAATATCTGTTCGTAACTGCAATATTCACATCTTCAGTTGTTGCCCAGTTAAATAGATTCGAATAAACTCAATCAAATGGTTTCAACTTTTAAGGCCAATTGCACAGCGTTAAAGCAAGGTATTTTCAAATGGTTTCCAGCCTATGAAAGCAGAATTATTCTACTTTATAGTGTACATAGTGTGAGGTACTCGCACGAGTACCAGTACCTCACACTATGTACACCTGACGCGTTCTATGTCACCATCTGACATGACTGCTCCCGGCGCTAAACAGCTACCTGTTGATGTTCAAGCGAACTTTACTAGTTCGAGTGCTTTGTGGTAATTTTACATCTTTCCGTACGTGAAATATGAATATGGGACGAGAAACAGATGTCACTGAGGAGCAGAAGAGAATAATTAACAGAAAACTGATTAACAGATTGCTTCATAAAAAAATGAGTATAGCACGAAACTGCCGATATGTTTTATCTCTTCCAACATGCAGTCGTTAACATTGCATAGGAATCTGAGAAAAAATTTCTAGCTGTTGTCTTGTTGAAACGGCAGTAAGAGTCGGAAAAGGTGTTATACGAAGCTAGGGCACCATGTATATATTTGCAAACTCCAAAAATATACGGTTGTCCTCTAGAGCAGATCAAAGGACCATGGATTCGTGGTGCCAGAACTTACGCTCCGCCACAGGCTCAAAGAAATTTGGTTTAAACGCAATAGAACCGATGAAGAACCTCCGTTGAATATTTGAATGAAACGAATCCGTCTTTATTGGACAAGCCAAGTCAAAAATCATTAAGTTAAGAACTGAGAAAGGGTCTAATTTTCAGACCAATGTCATTCAAAGATTGTTGGAAAAATTGCCTATCACGCCCTCGTACGTATTGGCAAATGCTTTTCTGAAAACCGGGTCATGCTGAAAATAAAACAGCTGTCGAGGGTTATATAATGGTCCATGATTGCTGACAAAGACACAGATATGACGTATTTTGCACAGAGAATACTAGGCTAGAAGGAATATGCTGACTATAGAAAGAAAATATCGACAGCAAGATGCTGCTTCACATACAGGAATGGTTCTTTGACGACTGTTAGGTCTTCATGCATGATGTGGCGGTCTCGCAGAGCTCGGAGTTTCTCTAGGCTACTCGCTGTGAATGACGTTCAGGTACTGCCGTGGCCTGCTTATTCGGCAGATATAAATTTCACAAAATCTGCAAAATCGTTAAATCTCGATTTTGAAAAGGGCAGTAAATAAAAAATGTCCCAGATTTCCGTTAAAAAAATCACTAATGTACAGTAAGAGAATCCACTGGGAGCTGAGACATCGAAAAAGCGCGTTAGAAGCATGCCCTAAAGAGTAGCGGCAGTTATCGCTGCAAAAGACGGCCTCACAAAATACTGATTTTCACAACTACGTTACATTGTTTGTTACCATATTTGCCGATTTCTTTATTGATAGGTCAGGCACCAGTTTGATATAGGATAATGTCGCTTTCACCATTTGTAACTAGGTCGACTTAGTACTACGTAATTGGCCTTGGAAGGTGAATCTATTTGATTAATTCTGTTAGGGTCAATTTAATTGAGGGCCGATTATATATCTCGAACGCGCGTACTTTTTGACGTTTTAGCTTTCGACATATAAAATGAATAGCAAGGGCGGCACTAAGTCGTTTTGTAGTATCTCATATATGCTTTACATATAGTCCTGCAGCTATCCCTCAATCCACTTCGACAAAGCTTTATTTCTAAATGTCTTTTCTAGGTCATAATATGGTTCCTTGCAATCTAAAACACCAAGATGCACCGAACAATTCCTCTAGCGCAAACGTTTTTTGCATATAAGCTGATACGGTATATGAGAATTCACTGTCGATAAAATAATATCTTTTACTGTGGTATTAGGATATGCATTTACACACTATAACTTCCCTTCTTGCATAATCCGTACCTGAGTATAGGATTCGCTTCTACTGATGTTGATACTACAAAATATTAACGAACACTGCACGTACGGGACGCTATTCGTTGCCCGTAAAATTTAACAAGTGTTGACACGAAGCCATAAAGGGGCTTGATCATTTGGAGTAAACGATGCGTTTTCATCCATATCGCAACAATAATTATTAATAAGAATGGCTTGTCAGACGTATTCCCCGGTGATGTGCATGTTGTGGGTGATTCCGTCTGGTTTTTTTAAAAAAGACAGAGTAATTATTTAACGTGAAAACTTGGTTTAGTACTCTAGTCACCATTTGTATCGCAGAAACGAAAATAGAAAGCAGGAATTAATGTTACTCTCTTCCTCACTGATACGATGACGAGTGCTATTTGGACAACCGAGCAGGCATGTCGATGTTTAGTTTGCCGTGCTAATGAATTATCATGAGCTAGAAAACTTCTGTAGACGCATGCAATGCGACAAACATTGCAGTCAGCATCATAGTGCTACTGTGATCTTAATTGCAAGACCTTTGCGAGGCGACGTCGGCTCATATGGGCGGGTGAAGTAGATACTCGGTCTAAAAACTTTTAGAATTACCTAAAACCAAAAAGAAAGAAAATAAAAAATGCTTGCTAGTTTCGTGTGACAAACATACTAAGTTATTAGAAGACATTTTGATTGTGCATCTTAGTCAAAGAGTCGATCAAAAGTACTGTGATAATCTGAGACTTATATTTAGTTTATAGATATAATAATTTTAATGCCAAGGTAAAATTTCAAATATGACGGATGCATTTCGGAAACACACTATAAAAGTGACCCTTAGCTTGTTAGGATATTCTTAAAGCACATTCAAACTGACCTATGGTCTTAATTTGCGTAATCATTCACGAAAGCGGATGCAAAGTGATGATAACTAATGTTCGTATAATGCTAATCCCACAGATGTACGACAATTTTAGATAAATTATGTAAATGTCTGCCCTAAATCAAATTTCGAATCCTAATATCCTGATAGCCTAGTCTCGAAACCTATGTCGGGTGCTTCCACAGCAGCTGCGATAACGTCAGTACCTAATAGATTTAACAATTTCTTCAATGACCTTTTTACATGTACGCATATTGGCAATTTCAATATGAAACATTTATTTGAAATTCCAATTCTTCAGTATTCCTCAACACCCTTTGACGTGCAGACCCATACACGTAAACACACCATACACACAGTTATTAATGTTAAGTTTTAAAGTTCAAACTCGACGATTAATTTGCTTCTTTCCTAAAAATGACATCATTGTCCTTCGGGGCGCCTAGGCTTCAGGGCCTCATGAACCTCCGTTTACAGCCAGATATAACTTTTCAAGCGTAGCGCCTTGCAACGCTTCTTGTATCTTTTCGCTCCCGTCGTAACCACTCAGCAGCTGTTTATCACCTCTTACTGTACGTTCATACGAATTAATCATACAGCAAGACTTGGCGCAAGGAGTTCTTCACAGTAACACTGTTTTAAAAACTAGTTTTCAGCAGAATTTGGCGTGTTTCAGTTAGGCCGCACATCACAGTCCAGAAATCAAACATGCCAAATTCTAGAATTCGTAGAAAATTAAGCTGTCTCCTGAGAAAACTCCAGTATCATTTTTAAATAAAATCATCATTTATCTAGACGCAAGTGCTGTATGATTCACATTATGCTATTTAATTTTTATTCTTTAATAAGTTGCATTTGAGTTGAGAAACATCTGACAGTTATAATCTGCACCTAATTTTACTAATACGCTAAATTCCAAAACGATAATTCGACATACTTATTTGGCGTTCTACGTAATTATCGATGACCGGCAATTCGTATAAAATTAGATCCGGAGCTAAAAAATAGTACTGAAAGTGGTCATGCCTTGTATGGGCCTACAAGGAATTATCTCAAAAAGAAAAAACAATTTATTTGATCCAGTCCTGCAATAAATAGTTTCAAATTAATTCACTATAAACTATTCTGTCACGCAAATGTATATATTGACGGAAAGAAAATAATGGGTAAATTTAATTTTAATAATCTTTTCCTATTACATTTAAGTAAAAATAACCATAGTTTATTTTTCTTTCTTTCCTGCTTTCCTCTCAGCTCGTACTGTGTATACGTTTGTTTACCGGTGTCTAAATCTCTAATCGATTTTGTATTTGACCTTACCGCTTCTCTAAAATTGCCACCCTTGGAGCATCTTGACTTCGCTGTCTGTTCACCTGTTTTCAAGTTATGCATCTGTTACTGTGACTATTACTTAAAACATACAATACTAATTATTAACGTGCACCTGGGTTTGTAATGTTCATAATTACTAATATACATATTATGTACACAGTTGTCTATCGATAATCCATTGATCTTTCGTTTGTTACGCCTACCATTATTATTCTTATTTTGATCACACAGTCATAGCAACCAGCAAAATTCCAGTAGTACCATTACTCTTATTATTCAGAAATTAGAAGTTGGTCTTTTATAAATCACTTAAAGTCAGTCTTTTCGGATGGACCTGGAAACCTGAGAAGGATTTAAAAATAGACTAAGGGCATATCGAATCATTGGTTCGAGAATAAAGAAGGTTTTTTACGCTTACTTTATCCACCAACAACTGATCATAGAGCTCTCTTGTATTTTGTATCTGTCGGCATTAGTACTGATGTCCTTAATTATGAAATCAATTATATCCGGTAATAACAATAGAAAGTATTGACTAACTGCCTAAGTATAATTGTCAGTTTGTGACATGTCAACCAAATGGTGGAAATTATTTGTACGCTATTACATTTACTGTTCTAATTACAAAAATCATCAATTTTTTTTTTATAAATGTTCAACCCACTCATCTTTCTTCCTTTCGCTCATTTTTATTTTTTTTTGGCTGTTTTGTTATATTGTGTTCAACGTAGTTTTTTTGCTGCATCTCCGATTATTTGCTGGCGTTTTCCTCTCCACCTACCCCACTACCTTTCTTATTATTTGTTCACAAAACTTAGCCTTCTTCGGCCAACTAATGCCATAGCATGCATACCACTTCTTGCCCTATATTACTCCTACCATTCATTCCCAAAGCCTTCTTTTCGATTGAAAGCTGTTGTGGGCAATATCCTGCAACATACGTACATTAATTTTTACCTTTGTCCTTTTAAATTAACTTACTACATACAATAATAATAATAATAAAGTAATGCCCAGCACGAATTGTCTTTCTCGTTCGCCGAGTCCTTCTCTCCTTGGATCCACCGACCAGAACTCTACCATTGTTACTACTGCTATCAATATTGTAACCCTCCTAATCTCCGAAGCAATGCTCGAGAACTAAATGCAATGGATCCATTTATCAATGATGCATTGTAAACATATTTTACTTAGTAGGGAAATATCACACATTAAATAGGCTATTTGTACTGAAAGCCTTAATGTAGCCGATCAAAGGCGCCAAAAAGTTCTGAATGATCATTTGGGGCTATTATTTACTTTTTACTGAAATGGCCAACATTGCAAATCCATAAATAGCTCATAATTATATGCTAAATCAAATATTCATATAAAACAGTATCCTATTAACTTGAAGCGGATTCTGTTCATGCCTACATTGAGCCCGAGCATCACTAGTTGGAAAATGAACGCCTGCATTGTTTGCACGGTTCCCACCTATTTTACAGGATTCATATTCATTCACATGAGATAACGAACTGCAACTGCGGTTAGTTGCGTTGCGCCGGTTTACGACTCAAACACGTACACACATACTTACACCCAAGTTCACTACACACACACATACACACATTCCTTCGGTACTTAAATTCCCATCGCCGCATACAGCTTTGTCAAACTTCCAACAATTGACAAAGCTATGCTTTGCAAACCATTGCTCGAACGTTTTTCATCAAATTTTTGCATTTTTACCATAACAGTAATACTTTATCGTAGCACCGTAGTTACGATAACTCAACCACCCGTCGCAGTTACTAAAAGTTACCAAGTGCAGTAATCGTAGCAAAAAATTATCAGAAGACAACTCAACGGTCTTCTCAATCGAGTAATTCTAATTTAAAATAGTTACTCCATTTGGCTCTTTCATCTATTTTTTGCTCTACACTGATATGCAAACGTCAGTTTTTCTCTGTCACATATAGAAGCAATGCTGCTGTCCACTGCACACTCAATAATAATTAACCATACTTAATATGTCAATTTTTTATACGCTAGAATTCATTGCATTTTCGTTCATAGGCCTTTCAGGTAGGCAAAAGAGTGTTGTAGGCCCAAGTGACCAATGATAGAAACGACATACCGTGAGAGAAAGACAGTCGAATTGGCGTATTTGAATCAAGACACATCTTTAAATTAAACTTCAGTTAAGGACGTCCTTGCTTTTACCTCGAGAACGATAGAAAGGTGTCCTTCTATGTGCATGATTATGATAATCATCTGCTGTGTTTATTAAAAAAAAACAGCAGATTGGATGAGTGCAATTACCTGCAGGTGATTATTCTCACAAGCACCGAAATCAAAGCATCAGCCATATCCGTATCTTCATCAGTCGACCTATTGTGGTTCGACGACACAAGGAAGACAACGTAATGCTACTTCTAGAGCTGCAAGCGACTGGTCATAAACGTCTAAGTTACGAATGTGAGTGGTAGTGCTGGATGCTGCGGTTCTTAATTGTTACTAGTTTTTGTTTGTTTTCGCTATCATGTAAAAACAACACGTACATTTATATACACATTTACCAAGCACACGCACACGTTCATGTATACCAACCACACAAATCAATGACAACAGGAACAACAATTTTTTCAAACAGAACCAAACGCTTTTCCCCTCTTGTCGTCTCCAAAATAACAAGTTCCGGTACAACACAAGATCAGCCAATTATTGCGGCTGCTAGTTTCTTCCTCTCTTTCGCTCACTCTGTCTGCCATTTCCTAGAAATATTTTGATAACCCTTTTTTGTTTGTTGTTTTTGTTGTTTTTCAGAATGTGTCTGTTTACTTTACGATCAGTAGTGTTGCACTTTGCGACTCTTGCTGTTGCCACCGCTCGGGCCTTCTTCAAAATCTTCTGTCCGACGCTTTCGTTTCTCTTTACCAGCACCAGCACTGGCTGCACCACTTTCAATCCTGGTCCCTGTGGTAGGCCCTGCTCCGTCCAGCTTGTCAATCGGAATTTTTATACGGAGATTGTTATCGGTTCCAGTCGATGACATCCCTCCCTTGCTGTTGGTCGTTATCGTGGCACTGGTAGCCGTTGTATTTGACGTCATCATGCTACTACTGCCGTGGTTTGAGTCGCTATCACTACTCCGCTGCCCACCTGAAATAGCCCCGGTCGCTATCACTGTTCCCTGGCCTACGCTTCCAGTAGCCAATAACGGTGCTACCGTTGACGTTGGCTTTGGCGGAACAAGCTTAATCTTGAGTTTTGTTCCGGTCACTTGAACGACCGGAGCTTGAGGCTGGGCGGCTGAAAGAGGTGATGAGCCACTACCAGGCACCGGTGATCTCGACATCGATCGGGGCGATCGGTGGCTGCTGCTGTTGTTGTCGGACCGATGATGGTTTTCCCGATGGTGCTCCTTATCCCTATCTCTGTCCTTATCCTTCTTCTTTTTTTTCTTCTTTTCCTTGCTATTGCCGTCACCGCCCCCACCAGTAATAGCAACTCCGCTGCCACCAATTGCAGTTGTTTCATTTCGATCAAGATGCTCTTTCTCCTTGATCTTATCCTTATCCTTATGTCGTTTTTCCTTCTTTTCCTTTTTCTCCTTCTTTTTCTGCAAACATAAAATGAGAAGTGCAAAAGAATGTTTACTCTTGTTACGTTTTCAAAATATTTGGGGATACACCGGTTTGGCTGAGCGTGTATAGCTTCACAGTAACAATAATTCTATCACTGTCTGCAATTCTTGTTATTGTGAAACTATAGGCGCTCAGCTCTTATTTAACAACCTGCTTCTATCTGACATAAAAAAATAAGATGCGGAAAAATGGAAAATAAGGAACTCGAATTTCTCACGCTCATCGCAACCTATTGCATTGTTTAACATTACAGTGTTTCGAGTTTCACATCCGGTATTTGCCGTTAAGAATTGGTTCCAACGACTGGCTCTAGGCACAAAACAAAGTATTAATATTCCAATAGAAGGCATGTTACATTCCATCATTTTCCAATTATTCACTATCACTGCACAGGAGAATTTGCCAAGTGGTGAATTGTTCACTTATTAGGAGCTAGAATCTATGAACTATCAACATTCAACATACCTTGTGTTTTTTGCCACCATCGATTTCTGTTTGCTCAGCCAAGCCAACTCGGCTGTCATCATCTGCTCGTACTTCTGTTGGTTTTAGTTCCGCTTTCACAGCAACCGCTGTATTCGACCAGCCCACGCTGACCTCATCTGCGGACCCTTGTTTTGCTGTTGGTGTGGGAATTCCCTCCGCTGCATTCGTGCCTAACCCAGATGAACCGATAGGTTTTATTGGCGTACTAGCACTGACACACGCTGTTACTGGTGCACTTTGCATTGGGACGGCAGCAGAAGCGACATTATTATTATTCGCAATTGCTGTTGGCGCACTCAACTGTTTTGGAGCCGAACCCAAAGTGTGCTTTGTCTCTCCCTGGGCGCGATGCCCTCCAACAATTGGCGCTGATGAACGTGGCATAGGTGCCAAGGAATCGACAAATGTATTTCCGCTAAGTGCCTCTGTTGTTTCCGCAGTTAAACCCGTTCCATTATTACCTCGCATTTGTTGCTGCGACTGTTGCAGATGAGCGAGCAGTGCCATCGAGCTTGAGGATGAGCCTGCTGTTATGAGCCCCTGCTGCAACTTTTGCGGCTGCTGCTGATGAGGAGGATGAGTAGCTAGTGTGGGCGGTAGTGTTTGCTGCTCAGTTGATTGTACAATACCAGGCGATCGAGCCTCTACTTTTTGCGGATGCTGCTGCTGCTGCTGCTCAGGCTTGATGGTTGGGGTTATAGGTAGCTGGTTCGAAATGCCTGTTGTCAACTGGTGAAGCGGCGCTGTCGATGGGTGCAAAGGTGGTAGAGCTCCTGAGGAAAAATGCGAAGCAACTATTGCGGCTGCCGCGGAGGCAAACGACTCTGGAGGGCTGAGATTGTGATGAGTTTCCGGTGGCGAGGGAATTAGGGACGATGATCCACCGCCTCGAGGTTGGTCACCACGACTCATTCCTGAGCCGGTAGCAAAACCAGAGTTTGAACCAGAGTTAGTGTTGTTTGGACTGGTTTGTGAGACGATATTACCTAAACCTGAAAAAAGTGGAAACAAATTTTTCATTGAGATTGAAAAACCTTTCCGTGTGTTATTCGTTTAAATTACTCGAAATGCCAAAGGGTTAGTTCCTTCTAGTTTACACTGAATAAGTGAAACATTAGTTATTTGCTAACGGAACCTACTCAAGCTAGCTGACATTTCTATTTAATGTACGATTTCTCTCTCACCATATATATATGGTGTTGCAGCCGTTATCACGAGACAACCGAAACGGAACTATCATTAGCAGCTCAATTTATTTGAAATACGCACTCGCAAACTCTGCGTTTACCTCTGAGCGAAACTGTTACACATGAACCGCACTAATCTGACAACGTCATTTTTGCTCGATTCGCTAAGAACAATACTAACCTGTGAAAAAACTATCTGCAGAGGAAGAATCTCCTTCAAACATGGGATTGTGCGCTGGTGGTGATGCACAACTGGGGTACGGTTGGGAAAAATCTGCGGGTCGCAACAGGCCGCTGGTGTCGTCCAGCGCGGCGGCCGGTAGACCTTTTTCCATATTTCGTCCACCGCTTCCGCCGGGTTGCATATGCTGTTGCGTCTTTACCTCTAGCCTCGGTGGGTGAGGGTGCTGGAGCTGCTGACCTGCAGACATCTTATCGGCACTAGCATGCGGACCTCCATGAAGTTGCATCATTGAATGCTGCTGTTGCTGCATTATATGCATTTGTTCGCGTCGACTCTGATCGACCAGTTGAGGCGGCGGAGGTTGTCCATTACTACCACCACTTCCGACAACATTTACACCGCGTTTATCATTCGATGACCTCTGAAGCGCAGCTGCCTTGTCTACGTAGTGCTGTTGCTGTTGTTGCTGCTGTTGAGTATATTGTTTTTTTGGGTGTAACTGCATGCTCATTGATGATGAAGAGCTGCTTGATGTCATTCCTCTACTCGGTGCCTTGTTTGATCCCAATGGCCCGCTGGTTCCCGTCGGCAATGAATGTCTTCCAGCCAAAGCAGCCGAAGGATGACCTAATTGGTGCTGTTGCTGAGCTGTTTGTTGGCCTCCCTGTTGTTGCCGTTGGTGCTCCTTATTATAGGAGTACCGATCCTGAGTCTGAGGATGGCCATGATGCTGTCCGGAAGATCTCTGAGGTCCTACTTGCTGTACACCTTGAGTGCCAGATGATAACTGATGATTAGATGGCGGTAATGTCTTACGACGATCTGCCAGTAATGTAGTTGAATCTGGTTGGTGACTGCTGCTACTGCTTGGATGCTGCCGTGATCGGCCAAGTGAATCAAGTAAGCGCTGGCTTCCTGATCCCTGATGGTGAGACCCTTGTTGATGAGTTCTTTCGCCTTGGTTGCCGCCACCACTGGAATGTGTTCCAGATGAAGAGCGGTGACTACCTGAGGCACTGGCGATTGCTTGCTGATCCTTGGATTTAATGCAACCCATTATGCGATTCCGCGTTTTCTCCGGACACTTGTTTAGACATTCGACGAACTCCGCCATTAAATCTAATAGCAGGTGACAAAACACAAAAGTGTACTTTTAGCCATCATTATTTGCACCTGTAAAGGGCAAACTATCGATATAAAAGCTTCACATTTATACAATTATAGCACTTCCAAATAACTAACACAATTATGGACAAACCTTCAAGGAGTTGTTCAGTAACAGTCTCGTCAATATAGTTGAACCAGTCCTTTCCTTCGCTTGATTGAGGGATCTATAAGAAATACCATATATTATTTTGAACGGAAATACTGTTTTTACTTGCTTTGCATTGGAAACCATCAGTTAAAGCTATTACTATTAAATTACTTAGAATATAAAACTGAATGACTAAAACATGGCTTTTTCAATATACTTTTTTAGCATAAAGTTAGGTACATACTATTTGAACATAGTAGTAAATATAATTAAGTGTGAAGAAATATACACAAAATAAATCCACATTTCCGATTTGCTAAATACACATCTCCGTTTCCTCCTGCAGAACATTAAGTATTTGCCTTTTCCCAAGGATGATGAACACCATTTTTTTGCAGTTTTTGTAACCCTTGCAGGAATATACTGCTATACTAACAAATTTTAATAAAGAGTCCTATATGCTGTTTTATTAAAAAGATGATAAGCGGGTTATGTGGTATATTATTCTACTTTTTGCGTGACGTCAAATCCGTGTAGAGCGCTTAACACGGAAAACGAGTTGCCAAATTAATAGACGCCTGCTTACACTTGCCTGCCAGCTCGCCCATTTGCATGCCATAAAAATACATAGGCAAGCAACTACTGTTGGCTTATATTGTAAACACATCGTTGTAAAGTGCAGGGAATTCGTAGCTAGGAAGTACGACGTTTGCGCCAGTTCCTGAAATAAATGAAGCACGTTGCATAACGATTTAGCGTAGTACGTAATGTAGAATCTACGGTTAACTTCCGTGATGCTCCAATTAAACTGGAGACATAGTGCTTATCGTTAATACGAATTGGAAAAGAACATTAATCGCGAATAGTAAATGGGCAAAAAAAATAACCCACATGACGTTCCTATTTCTTTCAAATCTGCATGTCGTGTATTTAAGAAGTATACAAGAATAGAACTATACAAAATACTTTTTGAAAAAATTACAAAAATAAAATATATGGCAAACAATAAGTACCTTAGACGCCTTGACCAGTTGGCAACATTTGACAACATGCGTATGTGGATGGTCAATGCCGATGTCAAATCCTAAAGTTTGTAGCATAAGGTTTTCGTTTGCCACAAGTTCGCCGGCTAAAGCTTGGTACTCCTGTATAAAAAAAGTAGAGTAACAGAATATAATGAAGTGATACAGGCATACTACAACGAAAGCATGGGGCATGTATCCTACTGAACGATAATGTTAGTATATTTAACTTAAAGAAGACCCTACAGGAAATTTTTTTTTACATTACTACTTTAACAGCACCAATAATTAAAGCAAAATAAATAAGATTCTTATTTTTTCGAAGAGAAGGTTTAGCAGTGACAATTCACTTCATTGTTAATCGGTAAGAGGTTATTATTTTAAACCGATTTTTCATCAGTGTTATGATACCTTCAGAGTCGCAGCCGTAACCAATGGAAAATACTTAGATTATATATGCCTCTTCCTTGCTGAATGCCCCGGTAAGTAGCGGCGAAAACCCCTTAATATGTGGTAATAAATGAAAATCTTTAGTGCGACACTTTATTATTATTATTACATACATAGTATTTAGTCAGAAAACACGTATATCTCTTAAAACCTTTATATACAGATTATGTTAGTCACTACACTAAAGCTTGTATCTAAAATTCCGAAGGTTCACTTAAACCATAATAAAGGTTAACCCCAATCTTAGAAGTTAATTCCAATTTGACCAACTTAATTGCGCTTGAAGCGTGTTTAATATGAAAGGAAATTAACAACAGTAAAATTTAAGCTAATGGCACTCATGCAACTCTGGCGAGGGATCGGAAGCTACTCAGATTCGACATCTTAGACACTACCGTGTAGAACTAGCAATGTCTTCAAAACGGCTCTGGAATTCCGACTGCCGTTTGGCCGATCTAGCTTAACTTTTTGTTATTGAAGATCCTTTCCATGACAACGAATATATATATATGAAAAAATGAGGGATATATTTAATGATAAAAATCTCATTGGTCTGTCGATTTAAAAATTAAATCGTACGACATTTAATGCTTAACTTCAAAAAGTTTGAAACACGTGTATTAATATATTCTTGCTATTCTCGTAAACCCCTAGAACCTTGCATAATTATTAGTTATTTTTAATTACTTTAATTTTTTTTTCTGTCTAAACTCCTTCATGCCTCTGATTGCTACCTCTGATTGTGGGTCCAGCGGAGGTGCGCCCTTGTTAAGTGTTGCACGGGCACACTTGATTACATGCTCCAGCTTGCGCGGCTGTTCTTCCACTTTGGCCGCGAGAAATAACGCGCACTGTGCAATGTCCTATATAAAAAAACAAAGTAGCGTTTCAGGTAGTAAAAATTCACTGTAATTGTTACGTGCTGACTCATACATTAGGAATCAATAATTCAATGACAATTTTAAATATAAAATCCTAAACACTATAAATGTGACTATAAACGTGGTATCTGAATATAAACTAATCAAAAATATTTCAAACAAACAAAAACTGACAAATGAACTCCATGATAATACTGATAGTGATAGTCTATATATATAGACCTCTAATAAAATGCAACGTGATAGACGGGGATGAAGTGATTACAAAAAATAACGATGTCTTTGGTTTACCAGAAATATACTAAGGCGGAGGTTATTCATTGTACATATGCAGGTGGCAGAGACAGGAAGATAACAAAAGTCAGGTATCGAAATTCATACGCAACATGAAAGAGAAAGGTATTTTTAGGTATGCTACGTCCCTTTTCATGTCATGCCCCATCTCACGGTGCTTTTTGTGCTTGAGAATGTAACGCAATGTGTAATAACTTACATTTCTGTTGAATTTGGTGAACGAGTGGAATCGGTAGAATCGATGCATATAGACGATAGCCGTATTTATACAAAGTTGATTTCTGAAATGTAAAGAACAAAAAATGCGCGTAAATAAATACGTGTAATGACCAATATGTTATGATTATATAGGCAATTTACAGGTTCCACCATATAGTCCTCAAGCCGCTCGATTACCACGACTGCGATGATGTGCAAAAGCCTGCGCTCGATGTCTTACTGAGTTCCCGCCCCGATACATTAAAATGACATTCTTCATTAAACTGCATCATACCCGTCTTAACATGTTTCACGCAGATGACGGTTAATGAGTATATATATATACATGCCCGTGACCGTAAATTCAACATGGACGTTCAAAGTCTGATGTGCATTCCGTAATAGCCAAAGTAATTATAGTTAACTCTTTAAAAATTCATAAATTTTGTAACGGTACTGTGTCATGAATAAAGCTTCAACTGCAAAACGCTTCAATGATATATGTTTTCGGTGGAAAGGAACTACATTATCGCCACCGTCTGTACTATGCATTCTGAGGCCAAAACTCTGCCGAAATAGCCTCGAACATTTATCTTATGTGCGGTGACGACGTGTGCTAAAAGGATTACACAAACTTGTCTCGCCAAGTTCTAAAACGGTAAGACGGAGGATGCCTTCTGTTATAGCGACCGTCTAAGCTTGATGACGACCTTTTGAAGGCTTTTTTTAAGAGGTACGGTTAACGAAGAATTCAAAACTTAGACGAATAGATGGGCTGCAACCACACGTCAATCGTTACAATTTTATTTTGGATACACCGAAACCTACAGATAGGGTACCTCATTAAGTTTTAAATCCAACAGGGAATTACGGTTTAACGTTGCATCGCAATACCTCGCCCGGTGTTGAGCGTCACACGTAATAATGAGAAGTGCTGAATGTCGATCATGAACAAGAGATCCAAGAACCAGAATGGGTGTTTCCAGGAAAGGAATTAAGGCGCAAAGCTCAACCAGATCTTCATTCCAAAAAGATTATACTTTGCGTTTAGTGGAGCCGGCAGGGCCTGACTCAACAGGAGTTGCTTCCCATGCAAGTGACGTATTTCTATTTGATTAACGTATTGATGTATTTGATCCAGTTGTGTCGAGTTAACCAGGTTATTTGAGAGAAAAAAATCCGATGAACGAGGTCAGGTTATTCTGCTTTACAATAATGCGAAACCACCATATGGCAGGCATCGTCAAAATTGTACTCTTGAAGTTTAAGAATAAGAGGTTTGATTCCTTTCAGAGTCTCCGAATGAGTTTTCACCTTTTCCGTTTCATAAGCACACGGATAAATAACCTATAACGTGGTTGAAAAACTTCTTGAAGACAAAACTCACCACCTAGCGAGACGACATACACCCGAATATTTGGTGGATAAATGGAAGAAGTTCGTGAACGATGGCTAGAGATACATATCGTAATAACTTATTGTCATAGCAACAACGTGTTATTTTCTATTCAATAAAATACATGGTCTTTCTTTTCAACTTAATTGATTGAAATCATTTCGAAAACGGCCAGAAAAATTTTAATTATTTTCGGTTTATGCATTCGGCCTAATGGGCACATGACACTGAACCTTTAGACCAGGAACAAGTCAATTCATGTTCATAGAGATTCCTACTTAGATAGTACGTCAAGCTTGCTTAACTAGCCTGTAGGATGGAAACATACGATCAGTTGTTTCTTGTTTCATGCCCTACCCAGCTCCGCTTTAGTTCGTTACTCTAAAGTAGGCCAATAAGGAATGAATGATCGTCGTCAATGTTACTTTGATAATTTAGCAAATCCCGCGATGATCGGCCTATATTACTATAAGCAGTGTTTTACCTGTATTCATGGGGAGATGAAAGTGCTGTAACATAAATCATCCACACTGTAGTCCACAATCTTACCAGAATACCGGCGTAAGAGCAATGGTTTTAAATTAACAACCGGTTAAAACTGGCAGGGGGGAAACCGGGATTCTCTGAGCTTTACTTAGGTCTGGGGTCCAGAGCCTTGTTTTAAGAGATCAAACAGAAAACTTGTAACTCGTATGTGATGTGATTTAGATATGCAAAATGCGACGACCGGACATGATATACATAGGTGCAGCAAATGAATTTGGTTCAATGAAGTAACTTGAATTATATCTAATACATCGTCAGAAGCAAAAGAAATTCTGTTGGCGGGCCTTGCTTTTGGGAATATTCTTCATCGATTTTTTAGGTGCGCGTAGTTTTTTGAGCAAAGTGCTTTTTAGGTTTCCATATATCTAAACAGCTGTACAACAGAAGCAACTGGAACGCGAGGGACACACAGACAAGTGTCATATCAGCGCCGTCAAGAATGATAATGTGGAAAAATCAATTGAAGATCGAGGTGGTGGAGGGTAACTCTGTTGACCATCCGTCTGGCAGCTCGAGCTAGACTATGCACTAAGTGGACCGCTCACAGCTGAGATTTATCGATTTTCAGATTTACCTAAATAAGGGACATAAAGAGGGATGCCAAGGTGATACCTGATGCATGCAATGAAAAAATAAGAAATTTGAAGAAAAATAGTGTTTACTAACTATCTGCCAGTAATATCGGTTTACGTATCGTCCACCGATTAAGGGTTATATAGACTAGTCGAGTGACGTTTAAATGTGGCCGTAGATTTCCCCTGTTTTTTTGCCACAATTTGCACTTAATATTTGGTTTTACATAAATTGGCTCTTAAATCATCATAATCATAAACGACATTTTACCTGTTAGTCTATATTTGCCCAATCGAAGAGTTTTAAAAGTACAAAGGTGTTTACATCAGTCGCACTGAAAAATTCTATCGAGCTTTTGACCATACAAGTTGTTGTTGTTGTTGCCAAAAAAGCTAACATGAAACATTTCTAGTAGCATAGCATATTGCTACTATTTTCAACTGCTTTAGCTCAGGGAGGTTACCACAATATTAATAGGCAATAAATTAACCTCTTCCAAGTGTATTGTAAGTGCGTACTTGTTCTATATACAAATTTGTCTGTTTTCCTTTCTTTATATAAAAATGTGTATTCCTTCTGATATGTATGAAGTTGGCTCATTTGGTAATAACTGACACGAATACTTCAGATCAATGGCCTGAAAATCTGTAGATTTAAAAAAAATTAAAAAATATAAGGAACACATTTCCACTTGTGTTATTCAATTCAGCTGACCCTGCCCTCAATCTCAGTGCAAGCACATGACTTTTTTTCATTAAAACGATGTTAATAAATAGCTTTTCTATAGCTGAACCCTTTCCAATAATAACTAACATGAGCACCTGAAGTTTCAAATCTAGGTACATCGTTATTTTTTAAATCTGCTTAATGACTAGGTAAAATTTAGTCAACGATTAAGGATCATATGAGGCATAAGAGTAATAAAAGGTGTCAGCAACAGTGCGATACCTATTCGCAATGAAGGATTCGTAGGAAACTATTGCACAATTTCTAAAATTGTATCCATTGTGCATGCTTCCGAAAGCAACGGTATCACTTATTGCTAGAACTAAACTTTTACCATAAAGTACGTTTACTGCAACCATATATTCTAATTCCCACATATCCATAGTAATTAGCAAGCAATTATTTGTTGGAACTAGCTATAAGTTTCTGTAGAAGTTCACTTTATTGGAACACTGTTGTCTGAATGAAGTTGTCGCTAGACGCAAGTATTTGTTACGTGATTGTACCCTCACCACGATCGTCAATCAACATCACCAGCATTTATATTTATCCATTAGGCGTAAGTTGTCTTTCAGAAGTCTAACTCTTAGGACAAGAAAACTACAAAGTGATTCTCTTTTTCATGATAAAATCCTTGAATGCCGGCAGTGTCTCTAGGCCTAAATGCACACATGCAACCAATAGCCCGCTTTACTTTAAAACAACAAAATATTTTAGATTTTTTTCGCGGCCTGCATTCGCTGTCTGTACTGTTGAATTTTTAATGAAAGAATACAAAAGCTGTTCACAAGTTTCAACGTTGTTCAGCTGTGATAACTGAACATAAATTTGCCTCATATCATTGCGATATTGATCTTAACTTACACATGCAACCGTTGGCCCATCTCTTGAATGAGGTTAGCGGTCTGTTGGCGTTGCGACAGCTCCTTGTCGGGCTCTAGCCCGCATGCCCGACTGGCAGAAGTTAATGCCAATTCTTCCTGACTGAAGTACCATCGATCGGGACCGTTGTTACCACCACTGCCCCCAACCCCAGCGGCTATGGCCGCCATTGTGACGGGCACAGAGGCAACAACGCGGGCGTCCGGCAACGCGGGCGTCCGTACGTGTAATCGTTCTAATCGACCATTAGACCATCACAACACCACCAAAACATATTAATGCTCCATTAGGTAGCGACAAACTCGCACTTCTTTCTCAATTACCACCACAGCACCGGTTTGTACACCAGTTCGGGCACTGAAGGCACAAGGCACTCCTTTGGTGCCCACCACACTACGACGCGACTCATTCACCGCACTGCCACTGTATGAATCACTGCTGCTGTTGGTGTTGCTGCAATATCGTCCACAGCACAACAGCATGCAGAAGAGTCATGAAACAATCGCGAACACCAGCCGCAGCAGCGATAGCACCCCAGACACCACCACCTATAGCAATGCTAGCCCAGGCTACGATGCCGCAGCAGCACACGGAGGAACGCAGACATCAACTTCTCACCCAGTCATCAATAGACAAAAACACACATACAAATACACATAAGTAGTATTACACATTAACGACTATTGGCAAAACAAAACATAACGTGCCATCAACAACAGGACTCTTTGAAGATGGCGGCTTTATAGAAGCATTGCTCGGGTTACGTTACGCGGGAGATTTCAAATAGTTCAGCTTATGGGTTAATTGTAACTTTCTATCTTGAAAATATGTGTGATTCATTGACAGACGCACATGAAAGAATCATCAAGACTCATTCACTTTTGACAATCATACAATTCTAGTTAAATGCAATGTGCGCATAATGTGTTTGCTTGAATGCAACCTGCATGCCGAAACGACGTTGCAGTAGCCTATGCCAGCAAGATGTTATAGTTGTTTGATTTGCAGTAATATGCACTGTAATAAAATTAACATTTACTACTTCATGTCTTTTATTGAAGCTAGATTAATGAAAGAAGTACTCTCTCAGTCACGAAAAAACCGTTTGCATTGCCAGATCAGCTATAGTTTATTTTTTATACGAAGCGTCGCTCGGCAAAATAAGATTGTCATTGAGGAGAAGGCAGAGCATGTCCGTCTAGGTTCCGTCCAATCTGAACAAAATACTCATAGATGTTGACACATCAATGCTACAGTTCTCAACATTCATGTTGAATTTGTCAGGAAAAAAACTTTAGATTACTTTAAAAAACAGGATTGTTTTGTTTTTCTCTGCACATATGCCAGAATGTGTGTATGTGTTTTCAAATTCAGCAGCACGAATAACCTTCCGCTGACACTGGTGGACCACCGGTTGTGGGCCGGGAAATAGTAAGCTTGCGCTAGCCTTCGTCCGATTCTTCTATGCCTCAAACTATGCTAGAAGATCATGTGGCACCTCTAGATTGTTTGGTACTATTTCCCATCTTGGGAACATCCAGCTTTACGCTGTTGGATGGAACCTAACAAACTAGTTTAGATTACCTTTTGAGATGAAACATTCCCGTCTGAGGAGGTCTATTCAACATTAGAAAACAGTTCAAATATAATCAGTGATTTCTGAAAAGGCAATTGATAAGTAAATGTGGTACGCTCCCCGGGCCTCTCCCCAACAACTGGTACGAATTGAGAGCAGCGCTCACCTTCGGTGCCCTTCAGTGTGCAGTTGGCTTACACAAGCAGTGCTAGTCGTGGTCCGTGCTTCATTGGTTCAATTCGCGTGCACTATAATAAACTGTCGTGGGGAATTATGGCCCTTCGTGTTGCTCGATTCTTAGCCCCCGCGGCTAGGCAGTTAGCTTCACGTTCCGCAGTGAGGTCGCTATCTATTACCAACAAGCGCTATGGATCTGCCGAGGTAAGTTATGCCTTTTGTAGATTTGCCGCTTTTTGTTCGACCCATTAACTTGTACATTACGTTATACTGGGTATGATTGAAAACACCAGGGTACATACATTCCGCGTTTGTTAGCCTTGCTTTTGTGTGTTTCATCTTGGAATGCAGGTGTCATCGATCTTGGAGGAGCGCATTCTTGGCCAGCAAACCCAGACTAATCTGGAGGAAACGGGCCGTGTACTGTCTATTGGAGACGGCATCGCCCGTGTGTATGGGCTTAAGAACATTCAGGCCGAAGAGATGGTAGAATTTTCGTCTGGCCTTAAAGGTGCGTACAATTGCAAACAGATTTACGTTACATATTTAAACCGGTGACATTTCGATAGGCCATTGTTGTGGGTTCACGACCGTGATCTCGGGGTCGCTTGTGTCCTGTAAAGAACATGACCGTCGGCGACCTAGCTGAGAAGTTTTCATAATGTGTCTATGCCTGAGGTTAAATAAACTATAATGTATATATATATATATAAAAGATACGATGGAGAGAAAAATAAGTAAACAATTTAGCAGGCTTATTATTCTGGCTCTCGTTTTGGTTTCAAGAGAAAGTATCAGTAAGATAAACACCGCTGCTTCTGTTTAATTGACGACATACATAGCTAAATATGTCAGTTTTTTACAATATTCCGCTGTTGGTCGTTCGCTATGGTGGCAAACAGCACCAGAAATCGCAAAATACCAAATAATTAGGATTAACCATTTGCTACTCAATTTTTGCATGTCAATGATACGTAGGCATGGCCCTTAACTTAGAGACAGACAACGTTGGTATTGTCGTATTTGGTAACGACAAGCTGATCAAGGAAGGCGATATTGTGAAGAGGACAGGTGCTATCGTAGATGTTCCCGTTGGAATGGAACTTCTCGGCCGTGTTGTTGATGCCTTGGGTAACCCTATTGACGGAAAGGGTCCTATTCCATGCAAACAAAGGTATGCTTTTCTTTAATACTGTTGATCTCAAATAGACAGGTTCAGGAAATTCAGCTATCGTTGATGTAATATAGCATTGGCACATTTAGCTCTTCATGTGAAGTAGTTTGAGATCACATTTTAACCCTTAATTTCTTCCTAAATTTGAACTCATTGCAGATACCGAGTTGGTATTAAGGCTCCAGGTATCATTCCCCGTATTTCCGTGCGCGAGCCTATGCTAACGGGAATTAAGGCCGTTGATTCCCTTGTACCCATTGGTCGGGGCCAGCGGGAACTGATCATCGGTGATCGTCAGACGGGTAAAACCGCTATTGCTATTGATGCTATTATCAATCAGAAGCGTTTCAACGATGCAGGTGACGAGAAGAAAAAGCTGTACTGTATCTATGTAGCTATTGGGCAGAAAAGATCTACCGTCGCTCAGATATTGAAGAGACTGACGGCTGCCGATGCCATGAAATACACGATCATCGTATCTGCCACTGCTTCTGATGCCGCCCCATTACAATACTTGGCGCCGTACTCTGGATGCGCCATGGGCGAGTACTTCCGCGACAACGGTATGCACTCCCTCATTATTTATGACGATTTGTCGAAGCAGGCTGTTGCCTATCGTCAGATGTCTTTGCTTCTGCGTCGTCCACCTGGTCGCGAGGCGTATCCAGGTGATGTATTCTACCTTCATTCGCGTCTGCTCGAGCGTGCTGCTAAAATGAATGACACTTTTGGTGGAGGTTCTCTAACGGCTTTGCCCGTTATCGAGACCCAAGCCGGTGATGTCTCGGCTTACATTCCGACCAACGTTATTTCTATTACCGATGGACAAATCTTCCTTGAGACTGAACTGTTTTACAAGGGTATTCGTCCTGCCATAAACGTCGGCTTGTCTGTGTCTCGTGTAGGATCAGCGGCTCAAACCCGCGCTATGAAACAGGTGGCCGGCTCAATGAAGCTTGAGCTTGCTCAATATCGAGAAGTGGCCGCTTTCGCTCAGTTCGGTTCCGATCTTGACGCCGCTACGCAACAGCTGCTCAATCGTGGTGTCCGTCTTACTGAGCTCTTGAAACAAGGACAGTATCAACCTATGGCTATCGAAGATCAGGTGAGGCCACCTATTCATTCATTAATGCGCAAATTTAGTCAAGCCAGCAAAACTTAATACAAATTCTATTTCGTTCTATAATTTTATGTATGAGCACACGAAAGACAATCGAAGAAAAAACTCTAAAATACTCAGGTCTATTAAAAGATATTTGAAGTCCCCATGCTGAATTACTTTTTGAAACAAGTCTGTCTTAGAATATTTGAGTAGATACTTCTGGTTCCTCTACAGGCACTTGAAAAAGTACCTGTGCAGATGTAATGGTAACATGTAGTATTATATATTCACCGGAAAACCATAGAGATAGTCTAGCTACGAATTCGGGTGCAAATACGCTTTAATCCTCTAATAAAAATACGAATAACAATAGAAAAACGGTGATATAGTGATAACCTCTTTCCTCGGTCCTTCCAAATTGCTCATCTCGAGCCCCCTACCCTAATAGGTTTTTAATCCAATGCTAAACGCCAGTACCGGGGCCTACTGTAGAATAAACAGCTAAGGGCCAGTTTTTTCAAGGGCACTTCCAACCGCATATCTATAACCTTTTAGTCCTTTACCTATACATTTCATTAGATTTTAAACAAGATTTAGACTTCAGGGTCACTGTTATCATCATCAATTGCCTACAAACGACGATTATATGACGCTTAAATGGTGTTTTTTTCTATATATATATATATATATGTATATGTGTGTGTGTGTGTGTCTTGGAATATGTGCTTGTAGCAGTTGCATGGTACATAATACGAATAGCAAAAGGTTACTTTTTTCAAGTAGCAGATTTGCGATTAACGGTTGTGTATTGGTTTCACGTAGTGTTATCTCTGCACGCTATGTTGTTCATAGAGATATAACACTTACTTTGCTGGTTGATTTCATAATGTTTTTTCCCCAGTAAGCATACATGTATTACGATGCCTGATTTTTGCAGGTGGCGGTCGTGTACACTGGTGTGCGTGGCTATCTAGACAAGCTGGACCCAGCTCAGATTGGCAAGTTCGAGAGCCAGTTTCTCGGGCTAATCCGCACTCAACATAAGGATATTCTTCAGACGATCGCTGCTGAAGGCAAGATCTCGGAATCCACCGACGCCAAACTGAAGAAAGTTGTGACCGATTTCATGGCTTCCTTTCAAGCACAGTAAATGCAGCAAGTGCAACTAACTTGTTAGATGACTGATACGACAGATAGAAACAGCAACAAAATAACGGCTACCACAGTACCAACCGTAAACATTTAAGTCTAAGATAGAAACCGTGAAGCGTTGGGTGTAATAGGGTTGTAAAGAGGCCTATCCAAAAAAACGGAAGCGACTATAGGCAACCTCCGGGAGAAAAAGAATATGATTCTTGAAAGTTGAAAGGAAGTCGTTTCGCTGTACATAAGCAACAAAAGCGGGTTGATTGCACTACCAAGAAACTGTCGACAAACCATAAGTACGCCATGTGAAGAATGAAAGAGAATACGAAGTTAGAAATTAAGTATATCTGGTGTCAGAACAATTATGTTCTAGCAAACACAAACAAAACGGGCACATTCTTCTTCTTTAAAGATTTTAACTGTCAATTCATGCCCTATAACGCCATCAGGAATGAAGACCATATTTCTAAAAAACAAATGCAGATACGAGCACGCGCGTTTAGGTTACTAAGATGAATGAATAAAGCCGTTAAAAAATAGTCGGCAGAAATATTAATTCTATTGTCATTGATTGGTATTGATTATTTTTGTACAACTGGGCTCTAAATTAAACAACGATTTTAGAAAAGACACGTTACTGACTTCTAAAAACTTTTCCTTCGAGGAGAAGACGACAGGACCACAAGTGAAAATAAAAAGACAAGCCATAATCTATGACGTACTCTATATTATTGTAGAAAGAGGCTGAAGAAGAAAAGCATCATGATGGTTTACGTAAATAAAACAATGTGAACCCTCTAGACTATTCTCAGATGGAAAGGACGCTTCAGAAATTGCGAAAGGTTCCTAATGGCTGATCAGTGTAGACCTCTGTTTGCTATCGTGGCCAAGGTAACTAGTAAAACAAACATATCGAGTAACTACAATAGATCCACTTAACCACTTTTTTTTAGATTTTTTACATCTTTAGACTTTAAAAAAAGCTCTAAAATGACTGTATGCTTTGGCTTTCTCACCGATCTTTCAATAGACACGTGCCTTGCAATCCAATGTTTTCCCGCGTGCTCTAGAGCTCCCAAAAATAACATATTGCTATGCTCTAAAATTTCATAACCCACTTAAGTTGTGTCCTTTGTCGTTTAGAGCTGTCGCAGCGTTCAATACAATGAACCGATTTATCGTAGCTTGCTATGCTTAGCTTATCATTACTATCGATTCCTCACGCCTGATCATATATTGAATTTACTTGTGAGTGTTGAGTTATTTCTTCGAATGCTGCTCTCTCCCTTCAATTCTCTCCTTATAATTCAACGAATAATAGTTTTCGAAAGTGCTGGGTCTATTCTATAGGCTAGTTGTTGTGTTATATAGAAAAAAATTGAGTTAAGGCCCATGATAAACGTTCCCGGTCAAAAAAAGCGCATGTTTTACTTTATGATCCAGAAGGATTAAATTATGCCTGAAGCTTTTGGAGAGATCTTTGCTATGTACAAAGAGAACTAGGTTGAAAAGAAACAGCGGAACATAGCTTTGCGAAATTTAAAAGTGACTGTTACATTACGGCATGGACGATTTTCCGAGACCGTCATGAGTGAAGCCGTAAACGGGCTGAAACGATAATTTGGTGCTAGATAGTCGTAAACCATTTACACTTTAATAAAGTATATAAAAACATGAGGGTGCCTGGCTCTACACGCACTCATAGAACAGCAAAAAAAAATGGTTGTGCCATAACATTTAGCCCGACATCGTGCATTTTACGGTATGTATGACAGATTTTCTTTTGCAAATTACGGGCTTTAAGGCCCAGTATTTTAAGAAAAGGAAAGATAGAACACAGCTCTCTATCAAAAAACGGTCTATCAAATAAAAGATTTTGAAACAGAAAGGGTCCGCGACTGCATGATTTTGTGCCGTCAGCGGAAGTACATTACCTAATCGTGTTTTGAAGATCATCTGCATTTTCTGCGTCATATAGTGTGCATGGACCCCTTTGAGCCTTGTTTACCTTGATCACGTAAATACAAAATTGATGATGACCTGTAAGTATCTATGCTACACGATAAATTAGTTCGCCATACACAAAAGTCGGCCACACCACTTTTGGAAATCGAGGATAAGAAAACGCAGCACGCTTTCGGTTCGTTTCCATCTGGAATTCATTAGTCTGTAGTTCTTCAAGAGTGTCCTAAGGTTTCATCTATTTCTCACTCTTCATCCGTCCCTTCGTCTACCAATAGATCTCAAAATAACATTTTGGCAAAAACCAACTATGACCATCCTCTAAGTTGTCGCCGTTTTCCAGTCACATGTTTGTTCTGTACCCTGTTAACGCATTCCGTGTTCCGAATGATCATATTTTACTTTCTTTTTAGTTTTCACGGGTTTCTAGTGTACACCCAAGTTCACTACTCCGTACGTTTTCTGACTTGTGAAATATGTGGCTTCAGTATTCGCATCGGCATATAAGTAATTTTTTTCCCCCACTCCGCTGCAACTACAAACGCTTTGTTTGCCTCTGTCTCTAACTTTAGCGTGCACCGGTAACGGCATTGAAAGATTATCAACGTACGCAATCCTACTTACTCAATTTGGCGTTTCCAGTAATGCCGGAACCCCATCATGTGCCAGATTATAGCAACGCCGTTGATTGTCAAGTAGACTCGTTAGAAGAAAATGGAATAAAATGCTGAATTGAGTACGGAAACAGAAAAAGTATATGCAAAGCAGAAAAAAAATCACTTTGAAGGGAAAAATTGTAAATATGCAGTTCCAAACGCAGCCCGATCTCTTCACTAACTAGACGGAACTACTTTTTTTTTCATTCCAGGTACTTCATTAGCGGGTAAGGAACAGACGATAGATTTAACGAAAGAATATGTATATATAAAAAAAAACAAAGTATTTTGCCGACTGAAGCATAGAAATGCTAAAATGATTCTACTTAACGAAACAATCCTCATATGAATAAGATAACTAAGGCACCTATAACGTAAATCAAAGAACTTCACAGACTCAGAAGTCATGTTGAGCAAAGAGTGAATATTAAAATAATAAAGAAATACGAATAACATAGAAGGAGCGGAGGAGTAAAAAGATCCGCAAGATCCAAGGATTACTATTGTCGAAAACGTGGATAAGGATACCAATCGGGGATTTTTAAAGATACACACTAGTTGAAAAAAATGAATCAAGTATGGTAAATAAGTGGAATATTTAGTCCCTCTCCAAAATTAAATGATAAATCGAAAGTAAAAATAAATAATCTGCAGAACCTAGAAAGATTAGCTACTTTCAAAATCGATAGACAAGATAAGTCGTATACACAAGCGCTAACAGCGATCAATACAAACGCACCTTATCAGATCATGGGGTTGAAATGACAAAAATTGTGTCTTATGATGCTAAAAATGCTAAAAAATTAGTATCTCAAATGCAACCGCGACAAACCTACCCATTATTCGCCTCTGATGATTAAAGGCTTCGACAAACTTACATCGGTGTAGGATATAGTCATTGTGCTAAATGTAAATGTTCTACCTAATTCGAAGAACAAAAAGAACAAAAGATGCATTTGAACTGCAATAATCGCGACTAACCGCACTAAAACGGTAAATTCAGATAAAAAAAGGTTATAACTAGGTTGCATTATGTGTGGATGTGCAGCTTAAAAGACCATCTAATATTATAAAAGACCATCTAATTTTTCCTACTTTTTAAAAGTACGATCACCGAGTGGTAAACTGCTAGGAGCCAAAAGAGATGCGCCTTTGTGTTAAAATACGGTGAAAGGGGCATAAACACAAGAATAAAATTCAAATAGGCAAGAGAAAAGCAGAAAAAATCACCTGACAAATACCGGTAAATTTTGGCGAGTGTAACTGTATTCAAAAGGTGCATTGAATTGAGGAAAGAAATACCCAGAAGAAAGCCTCCGAGGCAGCGCGCGTATCATAGTACACTCAGAGCGCAGAAATGAGAAGATAACAGTACGGTAAAACCAAGTAAATCTGCACACTGGACAAATTCATAGAATAATTCTGGTAAGTCCCTGAAAATTGTGGCGGACATACTTGGAATCCCAATTTGGAAGTTAGACACAGTTTTTGTGGCAAAAGTGATGCTAGTCTTCTCTTTTACAGCAGCAAGCTTCAGTCTTACTGAGGGTTGATTACAGTCTGGCCTCGAGGACATCACAACCAGATATTAAATGGACACTAAAAATAGTTAAAAAATAATCGATTTACAGGTCCTGATTGCACACAACTAGTCAAAGAACCGACAAGATAAAGCATGGCGTTGTTTGCAGAAGTCCTAGACAAAATCAGAACTTTCGGCATCTTCCGAGCGAGTTGGAAACGTATTAATCTAATACTATTCGACAAGCTGGAAAAAACGAAAAAACTTCTACCTCCGAGCTGATTTGCCTACTAGTTGCAATAAATAAGAGAGTAAAAAAAACATTGTAAATAGATTGTTCACAGAGAACGATGACAATTATTATCTTATTTCTAAAAATTAATAGGGGTTTATAAAGAGTCGCTCGAAAACAGACGCCAGCAAGACGATCCTCGAAGTGGGTGGGGCAAGAATGGGTAAGGTGAAATAGAAAAGAGGGCTGCGCGCCGTCGTGGCTTTTCACATCAAAATTACTTTTAATGGCATAGAAAGCTATCAACAGTTTTTTGGAGAAAAAGGATATAGAGAGACCTACTTGAGACGAATAAGCATAAAGTGTCTAGGCTAAAGGTGTGTTATACACGAAGGTAACAGTTTGAGTTCATAAAGCAATTAACAGGCTTATCAAAATTCTAAAAAATGCTAAAAACTAAAGATCCGTCTACTCAGGGTATTAGCATGGGTGGCAATCTCAATGGTTTTACACGGGGAGTCGACCTGACAGGACGCTCTTACTAGAGAGAAAAATCTAGCAGTGCCGAAGAAACTCAAATATAGAAAGGAGTAGGAGTGAGTATAGCCCTCAGAACCATCTCTTATGATGCAGTGAGAGTTATAGGTAGGTGCCTTACCCCTTCTTGTGAAAAAAAATCATAGAAATTTGTAAACAGAAGCTCATGAAAATGAACACTCAGGAAGGTGACACTGGAGAAGGGCAAGCAAGATGGCAGATCGAAAATACAAGCACGCTGCGTACTGCAAGAAGATTTATCGAAAACATAAATAAATTACACAAGGAAGCATGAGCAATTGACCTAGATGCTCAGCGGCTGTGAATTCTTTGATGACCACCAGCTCTGAATAAGTAAGCCGCTAGTGAGTTCTGTAATTCCTGTTCGGTGTTGTAGAAATGGTGGAGCACATCTTTTGAGGGCATGCGGCTTTCAAAAATGAGAGAGAAAAGGTTGAAGCGATGCTGGGGGGTTCTGCACAAACTAATGGCTTTCACCAATGCTAGAGTCTAGGGAGAAATAAAACTATGTTTAAACTCGTTAATAGAATTTTTAAGAAAAAGAAGCTTAGAATTCTTATGGTATCTGATGGCGAAAAAATGAGCCATTAGTTTTTCTCCAATTCCTTTCATGGAAATTTGCTGGATTGATGTTTAGCCAGTTGCGGCTTTTCCGGCTCGCGAGTTTGTTTTTCCGTTGTTCAAGCGGTGGATATATCTTTTTCTTTATTAATAAACCAATGATTAAAAGGCAGCGGACTTAGTGGGTAGTAAAAACAACCATTCATAAAATCATGGCCTCGGATGACTGATGCTGAGTCGAGCACTACGCGGCTACAATGTGAAAGAAAGCAAGCATTTCCAAAAAAAAAAAATTAAAAGACGATGTGATAGCCTGGATGTATCCCTTTTGGTCTCCTCTATCAGCTCCTTCGGCTGACTCGGCCGCATCCTGTGTTCTATAGTCTGCGTTCCCCCAAGTAGACCTTGTACGCCTCGTTTTTATGTAGTGATCGTGTGCTTCCGCTATGCCATCCAGTATAGCGGGCGTCTCAAGCTCCCAAGTGGGACAGTTAAGGATGTTTTTTTTCGAAGGCATTACCCACTGTACGTCGGAGTGAGTGCTTTCTAGTTTCTCTCTGAGGCTTAAAGCAAGTTTCTTCATTCGCCATTTCCTATTTGTTTATCTGTATTGCATGTGCATGAAATGGTGCATGGGGAGTAGACTGAAGACATATATCTGTAAGCACTTCTATAGAGTTCTTAGTCCTCACTCTTTCCTCTTTTATTATAAGCAATGCAAGGTGGTCGACAATCGTGAAGTCTATGAAAGCATATCCTGCTCCCTGTGAGAATGTAGGCACTCGCCCACAGTTTACAACCAGGAGGTCTATTTAAGATAGTCATCCCTGCATCATCCTTCCTCTTGTTGTTGTGCTTCTGCTGCGCTAAATTAAAATCAAATATGTTCAAATAAAATTAAAATTCCTTGTAATGACAAACTCCTTTTGTCGACCATATATTTGTTTGAGTCAGCTAGGTATATGTTAAATTTGTGCGCAAGCTTATGCGTGAAGAAACGGTAGCTGTAAACCATTGTCACGTGGTATATCGCTGTCAAGGCAAACAACCTCAACCTTAATTGATAGCCAACCTCAAGCATGCCAACCTACGGATAGACCCGAGATTTAGCCTTGTAGTTTAGGGTTTTGAGGCTTGCTTCTCGTACCTAAAATTGACGAAGGAGTTTACTGAGAGAATAAAACAGCGAAAAAACTTTTGCCGCGAGCAATAGGTGCAACCAACGCAGTCCCGATTCACTTTACATTTTCATTTTTTCCGTTGAAAAAAGCTGTGCGCGAGGAAGAACTTTGCTTTTAGCAGGTAACACTTTCACACTTCATGAGAGAATGCCTCAGTCGTGAAATGAGGAGCTAAGTAAATAATAAGTGTTTCTCTCCTCTGTCACAAATATAAGCTCTAATGGGCTGTTTTCTCTAAAGAACTTCTGGTAAAAGGTATTAACTGTACTCGCTAAATAACATTTAAACTTCTACAATATAAGCTACAAGATTCACTTGTGTACAAATTCGCGAGATTCATTCGTATATATTATAGAGCTTACAGAGCAGTACCGTAACCGCTATACATATGGTAATATGACCAATATTGGATAGTGGTCACTCTAAATTAGACTCCAGATTGAAGCTTCATAGAAGCACTTGAACTAAAGCCAGGTGCAATTTTTAGTGTTACAATTTGCAGAAGCGCAGCTCCCTTAATGGCCGGTGTCAGGCTAAACCACAGGAAGCTAACAAGGAAACTCTTAGGGTTTGATCATGCTTAGGAAGGCTAATATCTTGATCGCCAGATAATAGGTGAACGAGCACGTTTGCGGCGATCAATAAACTGCGTATTACACATACGGCTATACCTAAAACAGAGTAGATGCCTACGTTGAGTATTTCAAAGCGGGTTTCCTAAATGCAAACATATTGTTTGAACTGTAGTTATCTAAGCTATAAAAGACTTACTTATAGTTAATACGATACCTGTTGATGCCCGCTGGTTGCTAACGCCTACATGTAGACGTCCGTATCGTCATAGAGTACGGCGGATAGAGCACAGTTCTTATGTACTTGAAGCGATACCGCTATATAAAGATAATTTCCGCAAGAATAAATCACAGCGATAGCAGATTAAAAAGCTGAGCCGTTTCTTTACAACTTATAAAAAATACTCTTAACATGTGCATAGTTCACGAATAATTTATTTACTTGACAGAATAACTTACATTACCCATATTATTTTTATCATCATCGATATTTACATGGTGCTCGTTGTTCGCTGGATATTTTAGTACAGTTCAGGGAAGAGGCAGATCATATGACTATTGAGAGGCGTACCAGCCATGCGCAACCAATTGCCACCAATTGTAGTTTAAAACAGCACAATCCATTCAAGTCGACTGCATACGTGGTCCTACCAAGATAACATGTAGTAGTGTAAAAAAGACATACTAGACACACATTATAACAGAAAGACAAATTACCTTGATATCTGATGAAAGGTAGATTATTAAGTAAAGTGATATGATGCGTTCTTCCCATAATGGCTTTGACAAATAGTGGATAATTGGGCCAAGTGCAATGGTAATTCAAAATTGGAAGACCAAGCTTGTTCTATGAAAAAAAAAAGACCAACTTCTCAAAAAGGATCGCTTAGATAGGGTGAAAAATAGAAGCATTTTTTAGTGGTTTTACAGTAGAAGGTGCTCAAGCTGAGTTACTCGACCATTTAGTAACAAAAAAAAAGGCGGAACCAAGTGCGCTGCGAGACTAGGCCCACTTCATAAATTTATCTGATGGTGTGCCTTAATTACTAGAAAAAGCTATTATTAAATTTAAAACTATTGCTGATACAGCTTCATATATTATTACTTCAATAACTTGTATCCTAATAATAGCGATAGAAGCAAAGCGATACACTGGCCGCATTGACATACAAATCTCTTACATATTCCCAAGCCTACATATATATGCTTAGTTTGTATAAGCAATCATAAATATTCGTGATTAGACCTACGTGACCACGCCCGTATGACTCGCGGTATCATTCAATATTAATATAATTATTATGTTGCTCGCTCCTAATTTTTCGCTATGTGTGTATATATATATATATATAATGTACAAATGAATGATACAATACATAAGTGAGTCCACCCGTTGGCATAGAGCCAGCTCGCGCATATATATAAGATGTAACCGCTTCAGTCCGTCAATTTGCAGCCATCATCATGATAATAATGATAACTGTACTGCTTAATATTTGTGCCCAAAAATATGTGGTTCCGCCAACAAAGACCTTTTTCTGAAAATGTACATACTGCATTCAAGGTCATAGCTTTACTTTCTTGATAAAAATTTATTTTTGACAAAAAAATAACAGAAATTTAAAGCAGCAGATTGGCTCATACTCACATGCGCCTCAAGGATGTCATTAGATCGAATGCCGCTTTATATGGCTCCTTATGGGAATTGTCTTCGGTTAGGTCTATCAGAAAGAAACCCCAATAAAAGTGTGAAGTTTACAACAGCCTCATTTACCATCGTGTAAGTACTTCTCTTTTTGTTTCTTTGAGTAACTCTATTTACATCAATTTTCAAAATGTGTTATGTTGACATTTATAGTGTCATACAAGAATCCTTGAGCAGGGTTCCAAAAAAAAGATACGGGGAAAAAGGAGTTGCCGTACGCTGAGTCGACCTCTCAAGCAACATCTTCCATCTGCCGCCCGTCCTACTTTTCTTAATAATGATATCTTTATCTTCGTCCATTCAATTAAGAACACAGAATTTATGTATATCTAATCTTTTTTACGACAGACTATAAAGAGCACAATTCAGCCCGTGTGACTGTGTGTGTGCGCGTAGTTGTACCTCTCGCATTTTTATCTTCGTGTTTTGCAGCTGAGTACTAATAACTTGCATATGTTCTAGATCTAACTGTTGTAGTTGACTACTCTTTATTATTCCTGTTATATGTTGGACTTTATTAAAACGGTAATTGAGATTCGGTTGCTAAAAGTTAGTCTGTGTGATACATATAACCATACTTAACGGTACGTAATTGACGTGTTGTGTGCACAGGAAATCCATTAGAATGCTCTGAGAGATACCTTGTGTTGGTTTTTTAATTTGTGGAACATTCGTACTAGCGATGAAAAAGATATACTTCTGATAATGTTTCATAGAGGAAGCATTTTTGTAAATATAGTACATTCTTCACGCTGCTTACGGAGTATTATACTTTTAAATGCACATAGATGTGGTAATCTTTTCAAGCTAGACACGTGATCTCAAGAAACCGTACTATAAGAAGCGTCCTATCTTACAAAAACATTTTGGCCTCAATGAAGGACGTCCATTTAGGCCAATCATCTCCTATAGAATGAATCAAGAAAAAGGAATTGTCGTTACGTTTTTTGTATTTATCATTTGAGATCGATGATATTGTTCTCCAACGATACTGTAAATTCTACATTTACTAGACTTTTAATTTTGTTTCGTCGTGGCTTCTAATGGTAGGTTGTAATGGGTCTTACGTTTTACTTTTGTAGTCACCTTTTATGGTAGTTAGTAAACGACAAACACAATTTGACTGAGGTGTATCGTAAAATCAAGAAAATATTCCTCAACGTAATACAACATCAAAAACTCAACCGATAAACACAAGCAAACCAATCGAAATATTGTTTCAGAGTCTCGAAGAGTGAATATGTTCGTTAGTAAGCATGTTATGTTAAGAAGGGCAATAAGTTTGCTTAAAGAGTTGTCTCAAATCGAAATTATTATAGAAAAGGCACAATCATTTTCTATTTTTGATTTTATCACTAGCATTCGCCAGTTGACTCTGAGAGCTTTTCAGAGCTTCAAACCGAGAAAACTCTCGGTCTTTAACGCTCTTACCGAATAACATCTTAATTTAGAGCAACGCTCTTGAACTAAATGCTGTTTTAAGATCGTTGCGGTTCTGAGGCTGAATAAACTGAGAGCGTTGTATAAAAAAACAGGTGATAAAACAAAGCTATCTTTGGTTTTATGGGTATACGCCTGCTGAGGTTCCAGCCAGTAAAATTCAGGTAAGATATACAAGACTGTCGCTGCAACCATGGCGCTTTTCAATAATCATTACATAATAGTTTGAATCTGCAATTTTTTCCAATAATTCAGACAGGAATGACAGTGCACTTTAATGATTTATTGTTATTAGGAAATATGGTATACTCGAGCAACTTAATAGACCAAATGTATATTTACGGATGTGCTCCCAACAGTGTGTGAAGTGGCGTCCAAAGAAAACCAAGAGTTCGCGGTTCAATGCAAGCTCAATTCAGTATGAGACATGGAAGACTACAGTAAGTTATCACATCACCATTTAACTAGAATAAATTAGCATAAAATATCCACCATAGTAGAGAATGAACTATAAAGTGAACGAAGACAATAACATTTAATATGAGATGATTAATAATAATAACATAATTGGAAAAAAACCGGCAAATTACGTATAAATGTGCAGAAATAGGAATAATGTATGTTGTAGAAGTTTATGTAATTTGTATTGTTTATGTAATTTGTATAGATGATTTTGTGAGCTGCGTATAGCATATCGGGTAAATAAAATTCAGTGTTCTGGACATACGGTCTTTCAAAGACGTAAGTAAGTCGTAACGATCCATAGCTAGAAGAAAACCCCGCTAATGGTTAAAGAACTCAGAGGCTGATCTTAGGAACACTGTCATTATAATTTACGGTCTTTTTGGCTTAAGATTTAAAGCACGACTGCAATATGGCAGAACAGATAAGAATTGCATACATTCTCTGGAAGTCCATTGTCGGCGCTCAATATTATCACATGCACGTATGGGGCCTCAAAACCACGTTGTCAAAAATCAAATCTATTTTACCATTAGGTTACATGCAATGATTCTCAAATATTGTTCCCGATACACGCCGTTTCAAACTCGGTCCTCCAGAATATTGCCCTCTATTCTAGAATTACGTCGTCATCGAATCACGCAGAAATTATTAATGTGTTAAAGCAGTTGTTCGGCGTTGCCACAGAATCTTCAAGGCAGTACAGATATCAAGGTACTGAATTTGATAACATTTCTTGATCTAACCACAATTCCTACGGAGAAATGAACAGAACATCGCTTGTGGATAGAAGGTTCATTACTTTGGTAGGTCCTATCGAGATATTCCATCTCAACTATGTAGCAATCCCTATGTTTAATAATGTAGGTGCGAACAGGGCTATTGAGATTATCATTCAACAGAGGCAATACCCCTTTTGCCTTAACTTACAATGGACTGAAATTTAGAGTTGCTTAAGGAAGCCACATACAGGTTGTGGGACAAATCGTTCTTATGTGAATGGTTAGCAACACTTAGTGCGCTATTATCTTTGCTGCATAACGTAAATTAGGTCAATTTCCTCTAATTTTGCGAACGGTGGAATGCAACTTAGTTAAAAACACATGTCGTAGCTATAGAAAAACATGCTAAATTATGGTAACTATGGAATAACTTAAATATACAGATATTTCACTAGTAAGGGAACATTTGCGTCTCTCTATCCATATGTCCATTTCGTATTTTTTTAGTTTAGCTGCTAGTGAATAGTCAAGTTTGTAGCGCCTTATAAGCTAAAAAATTAAGAAACAGGCAAAGCGATCAAGAAACACAAAGTTAGTTAAAATCGAAATGTGCAACAACTGCTTCATCATCATCGACAGTAATATTAAGCAGCAGGTCTACCGTGTAGTAACACACGTATCAGAGATGTATGTCACAACACGTATACATACGTACATAAATATACGCCGCAAGTATGATGCACATTAATAATAATAATTATATAAACGTCTTTACGATGTACATTAAACATATGGTAAATAGTAGAACGTGTTTGTGCTTGCTGATCTATATTTTTGTGTATGTGTGTAATTGTAAAAGGGTGGGCGATGGGGGCGAGAGAACGATGACTGCGATATCCAGGATTTGGTTCTGAATCATCGGTGCTAATATTGATTACATCGCGCTTTGTGCTTTAGTAACCGTTCTAGACAATAATCAAAACTGTCATTGTTTTTCCCACTTCGGCGGCGTTAATTACAGCATTTACATGCGTCATGGAAAGTTAACGACAGTTTTTTATAATTTTTTATCAGGTCCTAGTAAAATTAATTCTTATAGAGCGAACTTTTGTCCGTTCTATGTAAACACACACACACACACAGACACACACATATCTAAAAGATCAGAGATCAACTTTCAACAGATGAGTCTTTTCTTATACATCTGCGTACTGGGAGGTCTCATATCTCAAGCTGATAAAAACGTCACGCAAAGGACCTTGCCGCTAGCTAATTCTTTCAGTAACTGTTCGCAAGGAGAGCCGTCCCTCTGAGTTATCCTTTTTTATTTATCCATGTCATTCTCTCTTCCGGCAATAATTACCATAAACATCAGCACTATCATTGTGTAATTATATTTTACATTTGCGAGTTAAGGACCGTCACACTCATCTACTCAAAGAAGTGGGATGTGTCATTTATGTTAAAGGGACTATTTATTTTTACCAGACGCGTCGGGATGTTCTTGCCTGCAATTGGTTGAAACTTCAAATACTATGAGGCATATGTTTGAATGCCTTCTGCATTTGCCACTGATACAGCGGAAGCAAGCTTCCACGTCGGTCTTCTGAAGGTTCAGTTGAGGTACCTGCGGCATTTTCTTGCTCCGCATGTACACGGAACTTTGACCTCTTCTTTAGGGAACTTGTAGTCGTACGTCAGCTCCTCGCCAATACGAATCCGCTTCTGAGAGTAGATCACAATGTGCTTTTTGCCGAAGATCTCAATGCACTAATTAAGGTATGAAATAACCATGAAACACCCATGAATAGGTAGCAACAGTTAAGACCCATCCTTTTCTTTATCATCTAATGGTATATGAAAGACGAGCCTACCTGGCAATGTCAGAGTGTTTGAAAATTAATGTAACTCCATGTCGATATCTCGGTTTGTTAAACTATAAAAGATAATAAACTGAGCAGCTCAATTTTTTTTAACAATCAGTACTTGCTTTTCCTCTCTGTATCACATAACTAAAGTACAAAAACTTTTTGCTGATTTATCTATCTTACCTTTGAATAACAATTGGGGTCGCAGGAATGGTTAATAAATCTGGCCGCATTTCCGTGCATTGTTGCGTCCACTACTTCATCTTCGTCGATCTTGAACATGTAGCAATCGATGCCGCGAGACTATTGCGTAATGAGACATGAGCAAGCGACCAAAAAAAGCAAAAGTATTTGTATAGACTAACGTTATATATTACCAAGAAAAATTGGAACTGCGTTTATAGATGATGCTTGTTTTTCCAGTTCGGACATTTTTTAGCGCCAATGTGCTTGTTATGAGCGGCACCAAAGCGTTTTGCGGCTTCATAGATTTTTGGCCACTTGCCAACAAAACGCTACAAAATCTTACTTACTTCTAAAGTAGGGTTGTTTTTGTTCCGTCCATCTAAAACATTAATTCTAATTTGTTCAATCAGACAATTCCATACGCCTAAAGTTTCATTTAAATATGAGACAAGTAAGGCGGTGGACCGTACTATGTAGAGGAATACATGATCATGAAACTATCTATCTTGTATACTGGGCAAGGGTTGTCGACTGCTACGACATTTAGACACTAACCACTAAGGTAAAGCTAAGTTAGCTGTAAGAACAGAAACACCTTACATTATTTCTTATTATGTATTTATAAATGAATTTTCTAAACATATGTAAAAGTACAATCTAAGGTGTACCTTATAGTTGTTCTCTCGTTTATCGGTCAGGATTGCACGAATAAGTTCACCCGAGTACTCAATCACCATCTCACCAGCTTCGATGATGCGTTTGGCAAACACTCCTCGACGGTGGATCTTTGATCTGACAAAAAACGTTTAGCGACATACAAAATAATAGAACAGTGGCTGTGCTAAGGCTGCGTTGTATGAGAACACCGCCTGGTCGACTATATTGTGTATATGCGAACATGGCACTTCCAGAGTTTTCTCTGATATGTTGCGTTCGTTAATACTTGCCTATATAATACGCTACAAGCCTTAAAGTTAACCATAGTATGAGAATTTCATAGGTAGATAAACAAAGTATGCTAAGACCTACAATGGGTATATTTTCTGTAGTTCTTCTAATACAGCACTCGCGAATTTTGATATATCTTATATAAGCTATGGCGCCTATGGCGTATAGAACTGATGAACAAATATGACATCGAAATTCGCATCATAAAAACTAAAGTAATAGATAATCTGTGTACTCTGAACTATAAATCGTTAGTTTGAGTTTTAGAAGTAATTCTTAAAATTCAGTATCACCATAATTTGCATACTATAGGTGTACATCATTAACTAATATCTGCAATATAGCATATATATATATTTACGCATTTATTTTTAGATATATCTATCGATTAAAGCTTTTTTCCGAATCTAATTTTTTACATTTTGCTAATAGTAGCATCCCTCGGAAGCGTGTGATAGCCTTTCTGTCGTTCAGTTTTCATGAATCACTATTATCTTTGGATTTTTTGATAATATCCGAATCTCATCCGTGACGCACTTGGAGTATTCTTCGGAGACAATAAGAAGATGTGTAAGGCTATATGTGTATACATGACATAAACAAAACTCACAAATCGGGGATTGCAAGTCGAGCGTCTAATCATTCCGACAGCCAATTTTGCTTATGAGACCGATAAACGAGTACTAACCTATAGACCCCGACAGTGTGTCGAGCCGTTTCCTTGAGGGAGTAGAATTGCATGACCATATGAAGATCCTTGTCAATTCTTCTCTGGCGCATAGACACCTGTTTCAAAGTTGGCGGCGTCATGAAAATAGTGTTTTATTTCCATATAAATAATTCATTCATAATCACAGGCCAAATTCAATACAGATATTTGTGCTTACGAATAGCACTGTATCTAGCCTCACTATCCTGCGGTCAGAGCATTTATATATTATTAATTATTATATAAATTATTCGAAATAACTATAACGAAGCGCTGCAGTTGCAAAAAAGCAGGTTGAAAGTTTCCAATATATCTACCACGAATAGCTATCAACCTATCCTTTCATACCAGCATAGCAAATTGTTGACCATCCTATAATATATATATATATACGAAAAGCACCAACAAATCCATTTTACTTCATAGATCACTCATTAACACACTTTGTTTCATCATATACGAACTAATCCTAACTTTGTAAAGATGGGAATACCAAATTCGAATTTACCACTTTCACTAGATCCTATGAAGATGGTGCCTTTCGAAAGCTATTATTTTGAATACCTTAGTGTTTTTCAGTTTAGCATGACCTGCGCCATTCAATAAGCTTAAAGCATATATCGGTGTTTTTTTATTTATTACTTTTTTGTCCTCCGCATCAAGTATTTACTATTCCCCTGACATAAAATGCATTGACTAATATTTTTACATTTCGTTTTTTAACTTAGTAGGTCACACATTAAATATTTACTACAAATCTGATTTCATCCATTTTGAGTTATTTGAGCAAAGCTGGGTACTTCTTTGGTATAATTAAATAGATTAGAAGAAAGCAACGAAAAATGAACCGTTTTCAAGGAAATTGAAACAGTTTATTTAAAAATGCTAAATTTCAGAAGTAAAGAAAGATAAGAAAATACAAAAAAACACATAACGCCATGTTACATAATAGTAAAAGGAAGCATAAAATGTAGACTTGCAAAACGATTGGCGATAATTAGGTAAAACAGACATACTTGCCTAAGAATACTAAATAAGCCACATAATGATATTGTAGAATATAATTTTGTCCTACGTCCGACCCCCGTGGGCTCTTAAAAGTCATGATTACGAATATTCCTGTTGTTCAAAACATTTGTAAATAAAAGCAGCTATATGCTATAGTAAATATTTGGTACATTAAAAAATAGTACTAAATAGTTATTGAAACATGCTTTTCCTTACCTCCTCGCCGTGATCGTCGTCATCCGAATCATCATCAGAGTCGTGCTCTCCTCGCGGCGGCCGGCGATGTCGCGATGCGAGGAAATCAAACATGTCGTACGCACCTTTGCGCGTATATACCGTTGCACGCGCGCACGACTCCGTTACCTTAACATAATTCCATAAGAACACACAGGACCAGACAAGAGAAATACATTTTAATTGTATGCCAACTTTATAAAATAATTTGGCAATACTACGCATTCAAACCGGGCTAGTTTGATCCGGGAAAGTTTATTGAAATTAGTGAAATTACACAGACTGTACACCAGCAGAACTGCTTGGGAGTATTTAACGAATGATTTAGAATTTTCTTGACACTTAATCTTATTTACCATGTAACAATACAGATCAAATATGAATGTAGATTCGAGACTTGTTAACTGTTTTACGTTCTACACGCGCAACGTAGTAACGCTGTTCATCCGGACGGAAGGAAAAATAAAAATCTAGGACATTAAATTTAACTTTGATTCAGACATATAAAGATGAAGCTCTAAAAAATGCAATTATGGTGGGAATAAACCACACTACAGTTAACCGATTAAAAAAGTTAAAACTTGATTGATTTGATTTTAAATTCACAAAATGTATGGAGTTAGCCAAGATTTATAAGCCTCGCAATTACGTATATCTAAAGAAGATCCAGTCTGATGGGGGCAATTACACTTACGGCGGGGAATTTGGTTTGCGCAACCTCATCGGCGACTAACGCCCTCTTGCGGTGAGATCCTGAACTCGTTGAGCCAAAGGGGAACGCAACGGGCTTACTACGAAACTGTGGTAACGTTGGTGCCGAGCGGCCGCCAGGAAGCGACGCTGTGGTGTCGTCACCTTCGCTCTCGAATGAGTAAACATCTTTTATACCTCTGGAGGCACTGCCACCAGTGCCGATTGCCGACGTTAAGTGGCCGTCTTTACCGTGCTGCGTTGAAGAATTAACAAAGTTGTAAATCCGATCTTTTATTTGATCAAGAAATAGTAATCGATCCTCAAAAAGTATTATGCATGAATAAGCAATTAACTCATCATACGAAGAACAGATTTAAAACTTTTAAGAGTGCGGGTTATTAAGATCACGGGTTGCACACGTAATCAGGTCCGTTATGCAGGAAAACCCAATTTTATATTCATCGGTTGTTCAGAAGGGAGGTTAGTAACCTGTAATAATGAGTTTATTTGACAGGTTTTTATTATAAACCGTACAAAGCATTAGTGGGATAATAGCAGAAATCTAAATGAATACCTTATGGAATTTGCTGTCTTTGTTTTCTTGCCGACTAGGCATTAACAGTGACTTCCGTTTCTTTTTTGTTGTTGGGGCAGTAGTTTCCATTGAAGATGTTGACATCGATGGTGTTGCTGAGTGCAACGTCGCAGGGCTGTCAATCTGGTGGTCATCGTGGGGATGCTGGTGGTGGTTGGGGCTTTCACCTCGTTCCCGATGAGCGTGACTGCCGGCAGACGAGGCCACAGAGGTCGCCAGCGAGGTCGCCGATGACGACTTACTATCGCCCTAGAAGGCACATGGAACATCAGTTACTTCCGGCCGAATTCGAACACCGGATTTCGTATGCCCCACGGGCCGGCTGGTAAAAACGCCGCCGCTGCATCGACACAAGGACTTACGTGGTAATTTATAGCCTCACGTGTGAATCGAGACCTTGTTCTGCCAATAAGCTAAGTTTGCATACAACTAAGAACACACGTCCCTCATATTCAACCACTAATTAATATAAATTTGAAAAATGTGTTTTTATACTAGCTAACAAAGTTCGCTGTTTAAGAAAACCATAAGCACTCATCGTGGTAATAATAGTTATCGGTCACAGTCAATAATGGGTACATACTTTGTCGATAACAGTGGCCGGGGTACTCGTCCTACTGCGAGAAGAATATGTGTCCATAAACGGCGCAGGAGTCGGTGTTGTGACACTTGTTGCCATAGAAGATGTCATCGTATACCCAAAAGCGCTAAGTGAAGCGCCTGCTACTGAAGCTGAGGCGGCTTGCTTAAACACGTCATGTTTGCTGTCGTCCTGGCTTTCTTCTTTGATCACAATTACTTCTCGATTTGTGCTGCCACAGCTAGTCCTATCCTTTTGCTTTTCCTGTAGTCGAAAACCGAGACAGGATGAAACAAGATTGTGTGTAGTGAAAATAAGTAACGGCATTCCTGCATTAGACACCCTTATAATGGGAGCATTATCTATCTGTATCATTAGGCACAAAAGCTTTACTTGCTTGTTTAAAGGTAAATATAATATTCAAGGTTACATATCATAGGACTCCACGCGGTACTAATATCCGAAATGGTAAAAGGGATGCGAACCAGCCCATTCAAATTTCGTGTATTTATTAAGCTAGCTACCACTACGTAATCAATTATTACACTCTCGCACAACTGATTTAGCCCTACACAAGCGAATGTGCTGCCACCGGTTGACAGGTGTGCAAACTCTTGTGCACTCCAAATATCTAATATATAATAAATTCGTTGAAAAATCTGCGTTGAATCAAATACGTGTGGGACAATTCCAATATGGATTCATAAGCATTGCTTTCAAACGTATTTGTCTATTTAGGTACGATTTAATATAAAATGGAAACTTATGTATGAAAGCTTCTACGGTATGATTTATCCATATTGCATCCATTCAAATCGTTACTGCTGCAGGGTTTGGCGATAAAGAGAACTTATGCCATCGCATTTGCGACACAAATCAATATATAATTTTATTAGACCTTGGTAGACTTGTGAATACGCAAGTCTAGAGTAAAACGAAAAAAAAATCACGGCATACAATTCAGCTATTCTGTAGGTTTTAAATTCAGTTAGTGTCTTCATTCTGGACTGCTTTCTTCTCATTATCGGGATGTAACGCTTCTCCTATTCCGAAGTGCAAAAACGACCCAGGTTAACCGATATCATGGCACGAGGTTGCGAAGAAGAACATCTGCTATGAGGTTCTCTAGTATCAACTTGTAAGCAAAGCAAGCATGTTCCTGGAGAGTGTAGTGCGATGCCAAAGAGCAACGGGAATAGTCGCTACCATGTGCAACAGGCCTTAGTTAGATTAGTCATTCCCCCGTTTCGGTATCGGGACTGATCATCAATCTAACCACAACAAAGGCAATGAAATTCAGGAGAGGTGACAGAGTTCCGGCTTATAACACACTAAGTCTTTTGGGCTGACCGCTGACATATGTTAATCAATTCAGCTACCTAGATTTGCTGATCTCGTATAACGGCCAAGTTTCTTTCGTCATATTACAGAATGATACAGGAAGGCCTTGATAACTTCGTCCTCAGTATTTAGTTTCCGTCAATTGTCCCTATCAACTGCTTTACGGCTTTTCTACTCCAAGGTTGCGCCAATTGCCGTCGACGGGCTGAGCTTTTTCTGGGATGATCTCACAGAGAAAAATCTCGAGCATTTGAACCGAACAGGGCTCCTCAGAACGGCTTTGGTCCCCACGCTGCCCACAAGTTAAATTGCTGAACAGTCTGGGCTAGTAACTAACCGAAGAATGGCTGTAGCATGGTGTATAATACAATCATTGGTAGGTCATAAATGAATAACCCCGTTAGGCCTACAATCCCAGGAACCGTATGATGATATTAGCTTAGGTCAGGTTATTTTAGGATAGGATATAAAGCTTCATATGTTTAATATTCCAAGCTGTTT